GACTAATTATTCTTTACAAACAATTCAATACAAAATGTGTGTACATGTGCTCATGAGTGTGCATAGATTCTCTTCTTATCTCAGAACAATTTCCAGGTAAGTAAACATTGCTGAATGTCAGAATCTTAATAAAAACTGCTTATGTTGGTTTTAAATATGTATTCTTAAGAATGGTTGGTGAATGAGGCCCATTGTGTCTTTAAATGGATTTACTTAATCTGATTTAACAATGTGACCAATGTAGAGGAGAATTTGCAGCTGAAAAGACACATTAAGATTACATGAAATTCAGTGGTCCGAACCTCTTATAAACTTGATCTCATCCTTTAAGTTCCCTTTAAGCTGCCTAAAAATCACACTTTGTTCATTTTTTCCGTATTTCCAATGCAAAGTTTTTTATTAGCAGATGCAACAACATCACAATGGCTGGTATTGTTTTCACTTAGGGAGTTTGTGTGTGTGTGTGTGTGTGTGTGTGTGTGTGGTCTCTATTTTTGTTTTGTACTTGTTAAGCACTTTGTGTACTTTGTTACTCCTGTATGTTGGACATCATGTATCTTGTAAGTGACCACCTGTAAGGGAACACTTGATACATTTATCAATCATGAATGTATGGCAAATGTATTATTCGGTCATAGAACTATCTGGACAAGAAAAAAAGATGTAGCTTACCACCTAACCAAAAAAATCCCATCAAATCCAATGATACATTGCAGGTTTGGAGTCTTTTAGTGCTATCTCATCTAAAGGACGGAGGATGTCTTGAAAGAAGTTCGGATGTTTGTGGTTTCAGGCTGGTCTCCCAAAGAAAAGGGATATCTAAAATGATTTGGGTTTGCAGCAGTTTGTATCCACTACCCACTCAGAGAAGATCTGGCTTTCACAGATATATGAATTACTGGTTGGTGGGTCATCCCAAGAAAACTGACTTTTAGACTTACAGTAGATTTGTGCTCATCATCATCCGATGAAAAAGCTATTTGGAGATAGGTGGACTTATTACCTCTCAGCCTGTGTTGTATCTGTCGTCACAGGATAAAAAAAAACGGTGTTAAGGGAGACACTTCAGCAAATGATGGTGAGGAAAAATAATTGTATTTAACCCTTTAATACCGGCGGGAGCGCCTGCGATTTCATTTGCATATTGATTTTTAAATGCCAGTAGAATTGCAACCAGATAAGATAAGGATAAGGAGTTACTCTAACTTACCATGCATTCATCATGTCCCAGAGTGCTGTCTCCTTGCACTGACAGGTTTGTAGAAAAACAGTAAAAAGCGCTAAGAACAAAAACATTATAATCCTGATCGCAGGTATTCACAGCACTTTCTATGTTGGACTAAACGTCATCACGTTGTGAGCATGAACTATCACATTATTTTGTTGCGTGTCCTTCTCGCGACACTACCCGCGGCAACAAGGAGTGACGTCATTTCCCGGAAAATTCCTCTCTTTCTTCCATGGTAAATATTTCTCTCAGCTTGCAGTCACACACTCGCTCTCGCTCTCGTTTTGTATTTTACTCTTTCACAACAACACTTAGACACACACACACACACACACACACACACCAGACACTCACCACACACTCGCACACATATATTTATGGAACCGCAACAACCTGGACGTGCGAAACGGCTTTTCTCCCGGCACGAAGCTTTCGAGCTAATTACAACGTCAGATGAAGATTCAGTCCACTCATCAGGGGCCTCATTTATTAAGCTTGCTTACGCACAAAACAGGCCTTGAAAGTGGCGTACGCCACTTCCCACGCAAAGGTTGTGATTTCTAAAAATAAACTTGGCGGGAGAATGTGCGCACCTGTAAGCAAATTCTGAGTCATGTGCGCGCACATTTTGGAGACACTGGGAAGTGGCGATGCAGATGGCGAGGTGGAGAAGTGGAGTCAGATTTTTATTGATGTCTCACACAAATTTAATGTCACACTACACACATTAACTACATGTTGGTAAAGGAGTAGAAATATTTGGTGTACCTTTATATCAGACCACTTTTTTTTTTCTCTGTCACTGTCCGTGCAGTCCCACAGACACAGCTGACAGCATCAGCAGCATTGATGTGCTGCCACTTTTTTTCACTTTCTTTTATTAGTGATCCCGTTGCTGTGGCCACCAAATAAAATCTTTCTCAGTCCTCCACCTCCCGTTAAAGGGTCTCTAGCTCAGTCTCGGAGAAATTCCGTTTTTTGGTTTGTTTCTCACACCTGACGCCGTGACTCACAACGAGAGAACACTTGCATGCCGGCTTATTTATATGCAGATCGCATTCATGAGGTGATTTGCATGACCATTTATGATTGAACTAGGGCGTGTGGAGGGCAGAATATGAGGCAGATCTGGGTGTGCACAACTCCAGGAGGTCTGTGATTTATAAAGAGAACATTGCATGCAAGTGTGCATGAGCACGGTTTTATAAATAAGATTATTTTTTGGCGCAAGCCATTTTCAGCTTTTGGGCACACATCAACTTTTAGTATGAATCCTAAGCACTCTTTTATAAATGAGGCCCCTGGTCCAGATTCTGCCGACAGTGGAGATGAAGCCGACCTCATCCAAGGGAGAGATCCCTCCTATGACATGTATGTATATATTTATGGAATACTGTTTGTTTTTGAGTTAAAGTAAAGAAAATATATATGTAACACAGCTGAAAGCATTTTGCACTAAATACGCACCATTATTGTATTACTCTCATGTTGAACACATCTAACACACTGTGTAACATCTGTATGCAGAGTTGACGATGATGAGGAGGAGGAAGTGGGGGGGTCTCCTCGCCAGGCACCCCGGAGGGAGGCAGAGGGGGAGGAAGGAGTCGGTCTCCAGCAAACAGAGGCTCCAGGTCAGAGACACTCCCTGGTGATGCAGCTGGCTGGAGAACCGAAAAGGAGCCTGACATCTTGCCACATCCCCTACCACATTTTCTGCCCAAAAGGAGGCCAGGTGTGCAGCCACCACTATCACAGTATGTGGACAATACCTCTCCATCTGAGCTGTTCAGGAATTTGCTTTCACCGGGCTGCCATCAAAACACTGTGTGCCAACACCAATAAAAATGCAGCAAAAATATTGCTCATCGTGGACAGAAACTGTCACAAGACCTATCACAGCTCCCCTGGTGCTATTGAAAAGTAATGTTTGACTTTGAACTTGGAACTTTGGTTGTTCTATTGTAAATAGTTTATTTTGATGTACATGTTGTATTTTTGCTAATTGTGCACAATGTGCATTTAACTTTCGTTTTTGTCACATTTTATAAAAATGAGTGCATCTCAAAAATTAAATTATGAAAACACTCAAAATAAATTTTCTGTGGTTTGAAAGGATTTTGTGCAACTTTTTTACATATACAATTTTGAGGGATACAGCCATGATATTTCTGTATTTAAAAAAATATGTGTAAAAACAAAAAAGATTTTCATTTTTATTAGTGGATTATTGAACTTTTTAGCAATTTCTTTCATTAGTATGGACATATGTCCACACATATTATTAAAATTTGGGATTTAAGGGTTGTATTGATGTATAGCATATTAAAATACTCCAAAAAATGGCCCTACAGCAGGTAAAATTGTAAGATATGCTCTGGCGGACTTGTTCTATGGTAGGTCATAAAGGGTTAAAGGAAGAAAACAAATGGTGTTTCTGCTGCACCTTATTTAAGAAGTTGGCCTGTTATGTCTTCTGGTTGTTTGTTCAAAGTAAAAAGGCCAAGAAACATCGTTTTTTTTCAGTATCCTCTGTTTTACATATGGACTGATTCACATGATGTACTATTGCAGCTTTACAAATTATTTTGGTCAAGGTCAACCTCACCAAGAAAGGACTGCCTGGAATAAAGACAAAAATAAGCTCCCCTCGGGTTACTGAAACCATACATGTTCGGGAGAATTCACCACCTTTTGGGGGACACTACTAAGTGCTTTCAAAGTCTTTTTTTTTCAAAGAAATATTTTTTCTGAGAGCAAAAATTGTTTTTTTTCTGCACATATTGATGGCCAGGGTGATGGTTCACTGCACTGCTTACTGAGCGCAACATAACAGGTTTGATGAGCTCTGGGATCAAAACTAGCTTATTGCCAAAGTTCGACCATGACAGGGAACAGAATCCCTTACCGTGGCATCCTCCTTAAACATTTCAGATAAAATTTAAAAAGACCAAAATGATTACAAAAAACAAATATGATCGTCAATAGACCAAAGACCAGATGTTACTTTTGCTTTTCTCTTCTCCTCTAACATGAATAACTAAGACTCTGCATTGAAGTGGTGTGCATAGATTAAGATTAGGTTCAAATAGTTTAATGATCACAACGTTTTACAATGTTTTTAAGTGAGGACGGTTGCCTGTGTGCATATAATGCAGGACTGGCTGACCAGGTCTACAGGCTTCAGGGTCAACCGTCACCTCCAGTTGATTCTCAAACTTAAGTCTGGTTCCAAATATTTCATCATGTACTACGACTATATTGGTCCAGTCTTACCCTACTTAAAGTTAACATTACCTTTTTTCTTCATGTTAATGTTAAATTTAATTTAATTTAAGTTTGAAATAGGGCCCAGGTTGTGACCACCTCAGTCTGAAATTTTCCTCAAGCACTGATGATTTAAAGTTAAATTTTGTGAATTTTCCACAACACCAATTTTACCAAACAAGCACAGCTGAAAGCATGAATCCCTCACTTTTGCCAAACTGAGGAACCTGTGCTCAATTCTCACATCAGTTTGATAGCCGACTGGCTTGTGTTCTACTTATGTACCCTTCTGGAAGCCAGTATCTCATGAAGGATTTTCTCTACTCTGCAGACAAATAGCTAAGTGTTAAGGGTTTCTTCACCCAAAAACTAATGATAAAAACCCTAAATGCAAACCTCCGTTTAAGAGTGTTTCCACAAGCAGTTCTAATTCAAACCACCGACACACAGCTACAGGACGTTTGGGATAGCTATGATCTAAAGCAGCAACAGCAGCAGCACTTACATGGAGGTGATGTTCTGAAAAAGGTCCTGGATGCTCCCGGTACTGTTCCCGGCGCTCCCGGTGCTCTGAAAGGACAACAGCGGGAAGAATTTGCTGGCATCTGATCTATTGCAGTAAATTTCTGTGGGCGAGCAGGTGCAAGTGGGCGGACAGTCCAGCAAGGAGCTCAGGTAGTTGTGAAAGAAGATGCTGAGCAGAAAAAAAATCTTCCAGCAGCACAATATCCTGGGTGGGCGACGAACGCCGAATGCGCCAAACAACGCATCAAATCCATCCATGCTGTCACGACTCAAGTGCCCAGATTTCTTCCCAACTTTGCAGCACAGCAGCAAGAAAAAAAATGACTCAAATCCTCCTGTTTATCGTCCAGTCCGTGTGTGCGTGGGAGTGTGAATGCGTTACCGGTGTTTTCACCTTATTTCTCTCAATGGAGTCCAAATGTTGAATTAAAAAATTAGGCTTAATGACCACCCGTAGCGCGCGCGTGTGTGTGTGTGTATAAGAGAGAGAGATAGAGTGTGTGTGGGTATGTCAGCGATTTTGATTATGTCAGTCACGGCTGTCCTGCGCGTTTAAAAATCACCGCTGGTAAGGAAAAAGGAGGAAAAATCCTGTTATTAATCCATGTGTGTGACACAAAGGGGTCTGAGCTCGTTCTCTCTCTCTTCCTCGACTCTCTCCGCTTCGTTTTATGCCCCCCCCCCCCCCCCCCCCCCCCCCCCCCCCCCCCCCCCCCCCCCCCCCCCCCCCCCCCCCCCCCCCCCACACACACACACACACACACACACACACACACCCCTCTCTCTCTCTCTCTCTCTCTCTCTCTCTCTCTCTCTCTCTGGCGTTGTTGCTGGTACATGGCGGTGGGATTGGTGGAGAAACAGAGAAAAAACCCATCCTCTGAGCTTCAGGTCCCACCTACTGGTCAAAGAGGAAACTGAGCGTCTGACATCGGGGCGCACGCACGCCGCGGCTTTTGTTCTTAGATGGTAGTAACCTGTGTCAAATGTGGGGCCCTGTGTCAAATCTAGTTTTAGGACTCCGCTCATGTGAGTAGGAACACATATTGAGTTTGATCTAAGCACCACAGGCTAACAGTCACACAGAAGGCCTGGGGCCAGCTTCTTTATTATCATACCTCTCATATAGGCTACATGCACACACTGAAATTATGGAGCATGGTGTGGTATATTTCAGACTGATGATCACTTCATCTGTCTGACTAATTTCACACTTTGGTCCGGGGCAGGATATCGCTATTGAAGCTATGACATTAATAATTGGATATTCTTTGTCCAAAGGATAAATGTGAGAACGGCAATTGTGTTTATTCTGTGTTGTTGTTTTTTTTAAAATATGTGTATGTGTGTAGTTGTGTGGGTTTGTAGATAGATAGATAAACTTTATTTCGGTATCACTCCACAACACACATTAAAAATGCATGAGGGTACAGAGGGAATATGTTTATAAAAATACAATATTCAATACAATTTACCCCCTCCCTCTTGACAAAAAAGTGTTGGGGACCACTCAAAAAAAGAGTTGTGAGACACCAACTAAAACATCATGAAAAAGATTATAAAAAAATACACTATGGTACCATGAAAACAAAACACAAAACAGTATAAATTGGAGGTGTCGATATGGGACAGGCCTTTAATTCTTTTTACACAAAACTGTTGAGTCGGCAAAGATGGGAAGTACAGTCAAATTGTTTATGTGAACCAGCATGAATATACCTTGAATAAAAATCAGGCTTTGACTAACATATCAATTATGTGTTATGTTATGACACTTGTTTTACAGCATCCAAGCACCCAGGATACTGACAGGAGGACTTGACCTGGAGCGTGAACACCCCTGAGCTGCTGAAAAAGGCCCAGCAGAGACTGTACTTCCTGAGGGTGCTCAGGAGGAATGACATCACCCAGAGACAGCTGGTGTCCTTCTATTGAGGCTCTATTGAGAGCATCCTGACATACTGTATGTGTGTGTGGTACACCAGCTCAGTGGCTCAGAGGAAAGAGCTCCAGAGGATCATAAACACAACTCAGAAGTTCGTCTGCTGCCCTCTCCTCTCTCTGGAAGAACTGCACAGTTCCCGTTGTTCCACATTATAATGGACACTTCACACCCTGGTCATTCCCTGTTTGAACTGTTGCCATCAGGCAGACGGTATAGATCAATTAAAACAAGGATAAACAGATTCAGAAACAGCTTCCACCCAACTGCAGTAATATGGAGCTATATTGGGGCCAACTGTTTTGTACTTGAAAAAATAAAATTTGAAACTGAAAAGTTTTTTCAGTAATTCAATATAATTATGATTCACTCTGGTAATTCTTTTGAATAAATTATTTATTTTCATTTTTCACTTTCATATATTTAGGTATTTGACATCCTATTTTATTCAGTTGCACATTTTATCTTTTCAGATTCAGATCTTATTTTTAAAAGTTTCAAATCTTTTTTTCACTTTCAGATCTTTCTTTTTCAGTTTCAGATCTTTTCTTTTCAGTTTCAGACTTTTGGCCCCATCTAGCGTGGGGGCGTGGCATCAACTGAGAGTTGTGTGGAATCGTGACGGACAACTTAACAAAAAGGCTAACGACCTTCCCCTATCAAGTTGCCTTCAGGGAACGTAGGAACTAAAACAATTCAACTCAACACTTTATGTAGGCTACACCATGATCCTTAAGAGTTACTCCTGTACTGTTCCAATAGTTTATGGTAATAATCCTCCTCACTAGACCTCATAATACTTAATGTATTTATCTATACTTTATGTTTCTTTTCTGCTTCTTTTGCTCTGTTATGTAAATCTCTTATGTAATAAGTGATGAAAGTATGAAGTAATCTCTATCCTAATGTAAATCCATTGCTTGTCCATATATGTGTTTTCTTAATCAACAGTTATTTTTTCATAAAGCTCAATTAATGTGGACCAAATGTATCATAGAGGCTAGCTCATCGCCTTCCCTCTGAACTGCACTCATACCTCAGTTACTCTGTGTGCACTGTTGCCAGATTCAATCACCAGCGATCTGTGCACAATGTATGCCTGATAATTTGTGTCCGACTTCAGCCCAACTTGCTCTGACGTCATGCAAGAGTGGACAATGATAATCTCGTGACAGCAATAATCTTGCGACAGTGAGGCAGCTGCAGTTTAGAGCCAGGCGATGCACTTGCTCTCCATCGAGTGCAAGACCCAGAGCATGATAGGAAACGCCTGGCTCTCACCTGATCTAACAGCTGATTGGTTTAGATGTTGACTCAACAATATAATGTTTTAGATAAACTTTTCAATTTTGTTGAATTTCAGAGATTTTAATTCTATTTGTCTAATTTGAAGATTTATTCTGTTAACAGAATACATTTTGTGTGACTGATGGTGAAGTTTAGTGATCAAGTGGCCTGTTTAGCAACACAGAAACTTGGGGTCAGTGGGATGTGAGGATTCTTAAAATAACATCTGTACAGATGTGTAGCCCTGACTATATCTGACTGATCTTAAATGGAAGCTGTTGTCCTGTGATTTTTTCCTCATAACATTAACCTTATAGTCAGACAAAGGCGCAGTGCATCTTGATCGAGCCTATTGTTTAGAACTGTTTATGGGCACCAGCTAGCAGCTAACAGCACTGGCTCAGCCACATTCCATGTTGAGAACCGTGTCCATCTTTCATATTGAGAACAACTCATACTCTCAGAATTTAACATAAAGCCTCTTTAAAGTTGTTGGAAAAGCAGCTGAAGCTGATGGCTGATTCTTGGGGGTTCCTAGACTGTGAATAAGAAGAAATAAGTCTTACAGATGGAAGACAGAGTGTCTCTAAAATGGAATTCAGCATGCATCTTATTTTGAAAATTATTTCCACGTGTGATGGGTGCTTCTTTAATGTAATATGTTTCAGTGCAAGTATGTAGTGCTACTGAATACAGCCCCAGGCCTGCCTCCTCCCCCAACCACGCCCCTAATCAGTGCCAGATTATATAAGGCCCTTGGTGGCTGGGCTCATTATATTGGCTCCTGTGTTCTTCCCTGTTGTGGCTGGTTGTTTGTAACTGGTATGTAGTTAAACTTCACTTGGGCAAGTCAGCTCCTTTAACCTTGTACAGTCAGTTGCTTGCCTTTTGTTTTTAGCTTTGAGCTGATCCATGATTTGAGCACAATGCACGTAGAAACCCTGTTGTCCTGCCTATCTGAGTGATCCTCTGTTAATGCCCCTTATCAGAGGTGATTAACCTGCCGCTGTTTCGTTTGCACCTACCCTGTCTTGTTCTTTTGATTTAGCCTAATCGTTGAATTGCTAGAATTATAGTTGTCTTGCTGTTATTAAACCAACTGGGTTGTTTATTTGTTTGTAATTCTTTTTGAAACAGTTCTTTTGTTTCAGTGAAGCAGATTGCCATCTTGTTGGGAGGCTAGGCACCTATGGTGATATCCCTATATTTTGTGTGTGAGTTAGAGCACCGGGACACAAGTGTAAATTGAACTGTTTTACTGTGAGTATTGCTGTGATGCACCTGAGGTGCAAAGTTTGACTTTTGAGACTATTGTTCAACACTCAGATTTGAATGTGAGCATAGTAAACTTAATGGAGGAAAAAGCAATTGTAGAAAATGTTAAGTCACTTGGTCAGTGCTAATTATTTGATTGCTTAGCGGTAACGACAGTGTTGCTCTTCCCTCCTTGGCATGTCTGTATTGTGGACTCTTGGCGCTGCTTGTCGGCTCATCTGTTGTCTTTGTGCTCCTCACCTGTCCGCTGCTCCTCTCTGGCCTCTCTGCTCCCTTTAAGTCCCTCCTCCTGATAGCCGATGGCTCGCTGGCCACTCCACCGCCATTGGTCAGTCTATCAGAAGGTAAAAGCACTTCACAGGTGCAGGTTATAAACATAATGACAAATGTCCCGGCAGGAAGTAAGTACTACAATAAAAACTCAAACCATTTCAACCTAAAACCAAACAATAAAACACAATAAAATCAAGAAGTAAAACCCATCAAACACAATAAAACATGCAGATAAAAACTCAACACTAAAGTAAAATCATGCACAATAAATACAACACAAATATGAATGCACAAAAATATAACCTATACTTCCGCCGTGCGACAAATGGCCTTGGGTACACAGTGAAATTGAAATGTTATTGTAAAGTATTTAGCCCCCTTTGGCGTTTATCCTAACTTGTTGCATTACAACCTGTGATTTGGCATCCAAACAGCAACACGTGCTGTGGGAGCCCTTTTATTTGTGTTTGCATTATTCTTTCTTTCTTCATCTTATCTTTCTCTGCTAAAAGTGTTTGTGCATCAAAAACTAAGATGAAAACTCATTAAAAATGGCAGGTAGGTTGCAAATTCCACCCACTCCTCAGGCACAAAAAAATGATACTATTAAACTCAAGATGGTGATGTAACAATCAAGTTTACATTTTTGCATTTATCTCAGAAGTGAACAACTTGGTTTAGAATCAAAATTCTTTCACCATTTTAGTCTCTCGATTATTCAGCATCTTTAAAATGTCAATTTTTTTTTACTTTTTCACAATGTTCTTTAAACTCGTTCCAGACCATTGGTCCAGTCATCCTGGAGTTTTGGCAGAATCATCTACAGACATACAGACATCTAAAGTTATCAAAGAAAGTTTGATACATCAGTCTGTTTTGAAGTTATGCAT